GTCATAACTAGGTTCAAATAATGAAGAAAATTATGCTTAAAGAATTAATGATGACAATTTGTTATGAAGTAGAGAATATCCATTAAAAGACAGAAATTACTTTTAAATGGTAAAGCTGTAATTAAAACATACAATAACTGGAATGAAAAGATAATGAGTGAAGGGATCAGTAGTAGATTTTAGCTGACAACAGAAAGAATCAATGAACTTAAATATAGACCTGTACAGATCATGTAACTTGAAGACAGAGAGGAAGAAAAGAATAAAGAACAATAAACAGTCTTGGAGAAATTTGGGACACTGTTAAGTGTACCATCATGAATAACAAGAGCATCAATGGAGAGCAGAAAGAGAAAGAAGCAGAAAAAATATTTGAAGAAGAAATAACTAAATACTGGACAGATTGAATGAGAAACTTTAAGCATCCAAGAAACAGAACTACATGAACTCCAAGTAGTATAAATATGAAGAGGTAACACATAGACACATCATAGTCCAAATATTGATAGATAAGAACAGAGGAAGTTTTGGAAGCAATGAGAAAAATACTCTTCACATAGAAGAGCATCATGATTAATAGTTAATTTATAATCAGAAATAAGTGAAGCAAAAATAAAACAGAGGATATATTCAAAGTACTGAACAGAAAACAAACTATGAATCAAGAGTTTACATACAGAAAAATTATCTTTCAAAAATAAAGGTAAAATTAGGACACTTTTAGATGAACAAATTTGTTCAAGAATTTGTTGTTAGAGACCCACCATATAAGAAACACTAAAATAAGTTCTGCAGACTGGCAAGGGGCAAAAGACAGTAATTTAAATGTGCATGAAAAAACAAGTACCAGTTAATATAAACATGTATGCAATTATAAAAGACAGTATAATTGCATATTTCTTCTTTCTTCTATTAATTGATTTAAAAATCAATTGCATAAAGTCATATATGTATATATCTATGTAGATATGCATACATTTTTATACACAGCACATAGAAATATACTTAACAGTAACAGCTCAAGGGCTTCCCTGGTGGCTCAGCTGGTAAAGATTCTGCCTACAGTGCAGGAGACCTGGGTTAGATTCCTGGGTTGGAAATATCCCCTGGAGAAGGAAATGCAACCCATTCCAGTATTCTTGCCTAGAGAATTCCATGGACAGAGGAGCCTGGCGGGCTACAGTCCATGGGGTTGTATAGAGTCAGACAGGACTGAGCAACTAATACTTTCACTAACAGCACAAAAGTAGAAAGAAACAAATCTCTACTTGAATAAGAAAAAGACACTTCATGGTAACTTGATTCCACAGGAACAAACAAAGAGAAATGAAGAGAAACAGAATGGATAGTTTGTGTGTGATACTTTCTTCTCAGCTTGAAGAACTGTCTTTCCTGCTTTCCTTTAGTATATCTTAGAGCGTGATTTACCAACAATATATTCACATGGCTTTTGTTTGGAAATGTCCTTTATCTTTTTTTGCAAGAGACTTTGGCTAGGTATATAAATCTATTTTTACAGGCATTTCTTTCTTTTCCTCTCATCAGTTCAGAGATGGCATTTCATCAACTTTTGTCTGCATTGTTTCTGATGAGATGTCAGTCATCTTTTTTGTTGATGCTGTTCCCCAATGTATAAAGTGTCTCTATTCTCAGTGTATTTAAAAAAATTTTTCTCTAATCAGCTCAGTTCAGACATCAGTCGTGTCTCTTTGTGACCCCATGGACTGCAGCACGCCAGGCCTCCCTGTCCATCACCCACTCCCGGAGCTTGCTCAAACTCATGTCCATCAAGTCGGTGATGCCATCCAGCCATCTCATCCTCAGTTCTCTAAACTTAGTCTTTGATAATTTGAGTATGATGTAGTTTTATTTGTGTTTATCTTACATGAGTTCATTGGACATTTTAAATAAATTATTTTTAATATAAATAATTTTTAAGATTATTCTCCTCTTTTAGGGGGACTCTGGTCACACTAGTGATCTATTGTCCTACATGTTCTTTATAAGCGCTTCTTACTTTTTTTTTTTTTTTAGCATTTTCCTCTATGTGCTTCAACTTGTGCAATTTCTATTCACCTGTTTTTAAGTTTACTGAACTTTCTTCTACTATATTCAGTTTGAATTTAAGCCAGTAAATTCTTAATTTCAAAATAAAAAAAATAATTTCCAGTCTAGAATGTCAAATTAATCTTTAGAGATTATATTTCTCCTTTTAGAAATGTTTCTGTTATCCTAAAAAAAAAAAAAAGAAATGTTTCTGTTATCCTATTTTGTCTATCTTTTCTTTTAACTTTTTTAACATATTTGTAATAATTTTAGAATCTATAACCCACTGACTCCAGTCTCTGATTCATTTGTGAATCTACTTTTGTGTATTAATTTTTTTCTTCCTTTTATGTATTTTCATTTTTGACATTACATAGGGTTGCATAATTAAACAAACCAAAGAATTTGAAACAAAAAATAATTTTCCTCAGAGAAAACACATCCCTTTCTCTGTCAGGTAGGTTGGTAGGGTGTGGAGTTGATTATTTTGATCCAACTAGGAATTTAGATGGAGTGTGTTTGGGTTGCAGCTGGAGTTTCAGTTTACCTTTGATTTCAGGGTCTTCAGTTATATCTATCCTGAGCGATTACAGGCACCCTCTAGGGGAAATTTAGGCTTGAAGCACTATAGGGTATGGAGATTTCTCTCTGATTTACAGCCCAGCCCAAAGCATCCTATGCTGCCCTACTAGCAGCAAAATTCTCTTGGGGTAGCACTGCCTGGTCATAGGAATCAGCTCTGAGTTTAGGGATACAAGAGTTTCCAATGCATCATGCCAGCCCATGCAGCCATTAAAAACTGCCATATTTCTTGCTATCCCAGCAGAGTACTGCTCATAGCTGGCCCATTTTCTTGCCCATTTTCCCAGACATGGCTAATGTTCACAGATAGAAAAGTAGCACTGGTATTTGCTCAAAAAAGCCTTTATTATTCTCTAGAAAATAAACTAGTTATTTTAGACTTATTTTTCTATAAAACTCCGTGAAATCTTAAATAAGCATGTACATTATACATATATGTATGTATGCTTTATATTTTAAAAAATTTGTTCTACTTGTTTATGATGTGAGCATTATGATCACTTGTACTTCCTAAATGGATGTGGAACACCCAGCTCCTTAGCAGTGTTTATTTCATGTCTCAAAAAGTAATTGACATACTGTTGTTTTTATTCATTACTAAAAGTATGTATTTTACAAGTTATGTTAGCCTCCACTGTAGTCAATATAGTATCTTTGCCACAACAGCTATTGTTTGTAGAGCTCTCACCATAAAGTGGGTAATGTTCTAAGTGCTTTATAGATTACCTAATTTAATCCCACAACAATCCTGTGAGTTAAGTTAGGTACTGTTATCAGCCCTATTACACACACAGGAAAACTGAGCCATGGAGAGTTTAGGTAACCTCATGAGGCCATGCAGTTCATAAATACTGAAGTCAGAATTCAAATTCAAGCCATCTTCCTCAGAGCCCAAGGTCTTAGTCATACTCTAAAAACATTTGTTTTTATATAATACAAATCATTCTGTTCCATACTTCAGTCTCTTTTCATATATCTTTATTCTGCTAGGAATTATTTTTATTCCATGTTTTCAAAACAAACATCTTTTCTTTTAGAATTTCAGCTTGGCTGCCACCTCCTTTAGAATCTTTAACCCCTAAACTAGAATTTATTACTCCTCATCTATTCTCTTTGCACTCTGTTCTTACACCTCCCTTAGCATTTAACTTATTGTATGTAATGTATTTACATGATGTGTCCCAGCCATTAGTACATAAGATCCTTGAGAGCAGGAACTGGGTCTTATCCATAATTTTCTTTACCATACCTAATAATGCTTGACATGTAATGGTCACTGAATATATGTTTACCAAATTAATTTCAATCTCTGTCCCTAAAATTGATTCTCGATAGGAATTTTAAAGGTTACAAGTCTCTGTGGTGTATTGCACTTATCTTTCTCCAAAAGTTGAAACATAATAGGCCTCAAAATAAATGTTGTCATACATTTTAGAAGATCACCTTGGCTAAAGTTAAAATAGCAAGAAATGTGGCTGTTTAAAACTATAAAATTATTCACTTTAATTTTGTCTGTTTCTAATAGTTAAAAGCAAAATTCAAGTCTCCTATTTCAAGTTAAACTACAATTCAATCTTAACTAATAATACCTTTATGTGCCTGACACTTCAGGTGGAATGATTAAATTATGCACCTGTAGAAAGATCTCAGAAAGCAATGACAGGTATTACAAACCTACTATGCTCCTGGGTACTTACAAAAGTATTGTGTTTAAAATTTAAGAAATAGATTTCAATTCACTGTTTCTCCTGTATGTGACATTCTTCTTCTTTTTTTTTTATTCCCATATAGGTGTACATTTTCATTTCCTTGGCTTTGCTTTTTATTGAATTTATACCATAGGATATTGTACTGATTTGTTTTGTTAGATAGTTACTTTAAGGAAGAAAGTAGACATGTACTACTATATCATTTCTCTTGCTCAAATGGAAGAGACCGTAAAGGCACATTTTCTTAAAAAAAAAAATTTCAACAATGGGCTGCATACAGAGAAGTTAAGACAGAGCACAAAGTCTTTAAAACCCCTCTTTCCATTCTTTGTATATAGAACATGATTTGCTGCATTGAATGGGTTAAAGATTTTTAGAGCTAAAGTCCTCTAGTAGAAATTTGGGATGAATAACCCCCCAAAACTCCTCATTTAGCTGTTGAAAGATTGTTTATGCCTGCCACCCTCGTGAATTCTTTGGAATGTACATAGCACCCAACTATAAGAACTGCTGAGACCGCTGCTCCTTAGAAGGAAGAAACAGAAGCATTAATTTTGACCCTTCGGGGGTTTATAATTTTAATTCAATAAATGACTCTCATGCCATTCTTTCATATTACTTTCTATTATTTCTTTCTAATCTAGATTCTGTTTTTTTTTTTAGATGTCTAACAAGAAAGAACGTGACCAAAAAGCATGTGAGTATTATCTTCCTAAAACTGCTAGGTGTGCTTTTTTTTATGGAACAGAAGAGATACGAAGCAGTGATCTGAAAAACATTTCCTTGAATGAAGGGGTCCAGGATGGGAGGGAATATTTTTCCATGTTGGGGCAACACTATCACTCTGGTTCACAAAGGTTTTATGCTAAGCCAACAGACTTCATCTTCTAAAAGGATTGTTGCTTCAAGGAGACTGTCTTGTGCCTTGGATGTTAATATAACAGGAAGGGATTTGGCTAATGATGCATTTCCCGTGCCAGCCAGCGCTTCTCCTCTCCAGGGGCAGCAGGGACGCCTGTTCTGGTTTGCCTTGAGTTTGAACCTGAAAATCATCCCCACTCCCAAATCATGTTTAAAATCAGTGTGTTGTAATCAATACTTCTCTTTTGGTCAGGCTTTATAGATAGAATATGGGGCAAAGTAATTTTGTTTTCTCTTTTGCCACTGGTCATAACTACCTGTACTCCATGGTAAGTTTTGATTCTCAATGAGTGCATAATTTAAAACAACAGGCAGAAGGCAGAGTCCAATTTCTCCTCATCCCCAACTAACACCTCTTTATGTATATCTGAAAATTATATATAAAGGATAAATGAGAATAAAATTATATGAATATGAGAGAGGGGTATGCTCATACCTCTATGTTTATACATTTGTGCATTTATTTATTCATTTAATTAAAGGTCACTAATCATTTGTTGATTAAATTTGAGTTTAAAATATTATCTTGCAAGCTGTGTGAACATAGGTAGACCGGTTAACCTTCATGAAACTGAATTTTTTGTGTAAAAATGGGGATACTAATTTTCTCGGTGTATTTAAGATTCTTTCTTCCTGGTGAAAGAATTCAGAGATGAAGCAGAGAGATTGAGAAAGTTAAGTGAAAGTTTGTTTAAGCAAGGATACGCTCTCAGAAGGAGAGCAGGCAGACAGGTGATGAGCTGCTACCCTGGTTTTCTTTGGCAAGCTGGTTATGAGGGGCATACAAATAAAGGGGCGGAATATTCATTGGAAAAGGAGGAGTTTCAGGGCCATCTTATTTCCTGATTTTCCCTTCCAGCTCCATTTTCCAGAGCGGGGGAGGGATTTTTGTCCTTATTGAGCTTTGATGTAAAGGATCATAGCGTCGGCTTGGTTTATGATGGGTACTTGTGTGCAAGGCTAATCTTGTTGTAATGAGAGCATAATTAATGAGCAACAGGTTGCATTCAGAAGCAGGAGAGTTCCACCTTTCTTCACTTTTCTTTGTCTGCTACCTGGACACTTATTACCCAAAATGTGTAATTTCCTGTCAGTCTGGAGATTTCTGCTTTTTTTGCCTGCCTATGGACCCCTGCTTTTTTACACGATGTGTGATTTCCTGCCACCTGACCCCTGCCCTCATTTCTTTGCTCATACCTAGTTACCTATCTGCTGTAACACTAAACTTGTCTGATGTGGTTTATATAACATATAAAATAACTGGCATAATTTCTGGCACATTATCAGAACCCCCTATGTGTTAGTTTAATAATAATAATTATTATTATTATAATATATTACTTGGCTACTCCTGTTACTTCCTAGTCCCTAGACTAAGCTGCTCAGAGATTAAAAAAAAAAAAAAAAAAACTCTTAAAAGACTCAAAGTCTACTGAGGAAAACTTGAAAGAGCATCAAAACCCAAAACATTGTATGATAAATGCTGTTCACCTTCAAGAAAGTGGAGAATAGTAAGAACCTGATGGGTGATGGTTGGCTATAGAAATGCCAATGTCATTACCAACTTAATTGAAACTATTTACAAATCAGGGTTTTTTTGTCCTTGCTATTAATGATTTTTTAAAATTTTTTGACTATTTTTTAATTTACTTCTTTTAAGAGTTGTGTGTCTTTTTGTAAAGCTAAGCATAGGGAGTTGTTCTGTCTTTGGACTTGAGCATCAGAAACTTAGAAGTTACCACTGACCTCAGAAATGTTGCCTTATCCTGGAATTAAAAGGAATCTCTTGGCATAAGTAATATGTGTGGGGACCCAGGCATCCGTGTGGAATATTTAGAGACTGAATATTAACCGCCTTTGTAGAAATGAATTTCAGAAGTTTACAGATCATAAATCTTTTCCTATCATTCCTATAACATTGAGGCAATTTTCCCAACTTCAAAGCTTTAACATATAGTAGTTTAAAGAAGATACTATAAGACACAGGAGCAATTTTCAGAAGACTCTAAACTCCTGAGGTATAGGAGTGATTGCAATCTGGACCACAATAAAATATATTAACCCCAAAGTTGTTGGAGTCAGGATTAGCAACTGGAGTTTGAAAAAGAATGCAGCACTTATATTTACTTTCTCCATCACTTTGATGGGTCTGGCAAAGCTTAAAATGTGTGTGTGTCTCAGGATATCACTTTTACACTTTTTGAGAATTAGAAGTTAAGATAGTTTGAGACGGGCTGATTTAAAGAGAAAGGCAATCTGGTATTATTCTTTTTCATCATCAAACACAAGTGAGAGTAACTGGGAATGGACAGGAAATTAAGTCCTTACAGGTGGACATAAATAATGATAAGTCAGAACAAACAAACAAGGAATTTAAGCATGGATAAGAAATGGGAATACTTGGGAATCAAAAACTGAGATAGAAGAAGGTAAGTGTGAATATATGAAATAAAGAAAACAGACATCAATGTAATCTTTTTAAAGAAACAAAGACTAAGCTGAAATAGCCTTAATATAGTCCCCTTCTCTGTTTTTCTCTTAGTTTCTAGACAAGAAAAAGTCCTCTGTTAGCTGCTTACTTGCTTCTGTGTTTTATGGTTGGGGGACTGGGGGATAAAAAGATGAAAAACCACCCAAGGTGAGGTATCCATGAGGGGCTGAGCAGGGTCTCAGACCCAGATGTATCGGAGTCTGTTACCCTGTCCTCTCTGAGTTTTAATTGTATCTTTTTCAAAATTTGGGGAGATGTAGCAATAAAATGTACAGATTTAAATGCTTCCTTTCTCAAGTTTTTGTACTGTAACCTCCTTTTTAATCTGACTTGCAGTAAATAAATATTCATCTCATTTTACTGGTTTTCTCTGAGGCTGGAGTTCACTTAAGGTTCAATTTTAGGAAGTTGGATTTTTAATAAGATTCCTTTAAATGATTTCCATATTTAACCAATCTTGCAGTTCTCAACAGTACATGGAAGAGCAAGCAGGGAGCTTAAGAAAAAAAATTAGCTTCTTTAACTACTGGATGAAACCGAAATTTGGGCTCTCTGACTCCTTAGAGTCGGAAGTCGTGTTTGGCAATCTAAATTTATCAATAGCCTAACATACCACTCTTCAAAAAGGACTTCTTTATCTTTCTTATGATAGTAATGTTTCTGAAGTTACCAGGAATGGTCTTTTCCCTCTAAGTGTTTTCAGCTTGACAGATAGCTCTTTTCTGAAATGCATTAATTTCAATCCTGTGCCCCTGCTGCATATTAATTTATACATATGAAAAACAATGTCAAATATGGAATAATTCATTCATGACCCTGTTTTAAAAAGACAAATTTGGGTGTAGTTTTTAAAAGTGTGCGAAATTTGGCTATTTTTATAGTACATGTGTGATGCCATCACTTGTTTTTCTCTACCGATCCTTCAACAAAATTAAGAATTTTATTTTTCTTTGGATTTTTACTTGAATTCTGCGAGGCAGTCAATACCGAGCCCTGTAACTGCTGATGGTGTAGAGAGGAAGGTGGGCAGGGGGAGGAAGGTGGGCAGGAAGCAGAAGGATGGCAGGAAACATTTTATGATTTATGCAACTTTTATGAAAAATGTTCTCTTTACTTACTGCATAGTGTTACTATTATTATCACCTGGTGGGCCTGAGGCATGGGCCACACACATCATCTGGCTAAAAATAATTCTGCAGCCTGTCTGGGTGTCATTATGGTGTTTGTTTCATAACAACTGCCTATGAATCTTTATTAAAATTCAAGTGGGTTGTGACTTGCAGCCAACAGTGGGGCCCGTATATAACTAAGAGAGCATGGTCTGTCTCTGGGAAGGCTCTGGCAGGATCAGAGCAGGGTGCGTCCAAAACTGGCACTCTGCAAAGATGCTCAGACCAGAGACTCTGAAAGAGACAGGAAGAGACCATGAACATGTGTTTCTCGCAAATAAGATGTGCGATATTAAGTTCACTCACAGAATGAGAAGGGGTAGACCTGACAAGCTAACAACTTGGTTGAGAGCCAGTTGACACCACTCCCCTTGCAGACTGACCTGGGGAGTGAGTGTTAAGGGTCGGGGCTTTTCTAAAGATTTCTACAAGCACGAAAGCAACGATTTAGCCTTTTCGGTAGATAGATTACAAAATTGTAGGATTTCAATGGTGGTATAATAATCTTTATAATTGCTTCTGTTCTTTCATGTATTGAGGTACAACCAGGGTTTATGACAAAATCTTCAAAAAAATATAGGTCATAATCAAGGGTGGGGTTCACAGATTTAACCTCTAAACTGTACACTTATTGTTTTTGCAAGGTTTTTTTTCTTTTTCTGGATTAAAATACTCCTAGAAAACTACGACATAGAACTGCTTGTGAGGAAAAAATACATGGACTTAGTATTAAAATTGGATAATTGTTAAAATTGGATAATTATTAAATGACTATTGTGCTTGGTGTTCAGTCACCTCAGTTGTTTCTGACTCTTTGCGACCCCATGGACTGTAGCCCACCAGGCTCCTTTGTCCATTGGATTATCCAGGCAAGAATCCTGGAGTGGGTTGCCATCTTCTATATACTCCATTAATTACAAAATAATATATTTATTAAAAATGTGGGAGTATGTAGATACCAAATGGAAAAGAAAATATTTCTCATGATCACATTGGAGTAACAGCATTTGTTTAGATGCTTTGATGCTGAACAGTTTTGAAGAATGGCGATAAACTGCTTGAAAGGACTTGAGTGTAAGTGATTTTAGAATGACATTAGATATCCTTAAGGTTAAG